CATATTCGTGCAATACGAATAGCTAGGGTCTGGATCCCGGCGTCTTGATACTGTAGGATATGTTCTTCTGTTCTAACCAAAATGAGTCAATTTTGAGATCTCTTTTTAAAGTACGTTTGGAACCACTATCATTTATTTTAAGTTCACTGTTGTAGGAAAACTATTAAGGGAATCATTAAGGAAACTTATCCAGAAGATACAGGACATATTGAGCGTCTGTTTATGTAAATCAAGTTGACAATAAAACTTGGTTTTTGCAAGTTTTGGAAAACCCGTTTTGAAACGAAAATGACGTCATTTATATTATGGACGCTGATTGACAGACATTATAATTAATTTGAATTTATGATACACCAAATTAAAGATGAGTAAATTCCCTATCCACTGGTATATAATATGACATGTTTTCCTCAAATAAATCAATATTTATATCTGAGAAATACGAGTGTCCCATTTTTTTTGACCACCCTGTACAGGAGATTAAAAAGTTTTTATCGGAAACAATGAGATGATGCTTGGAAATTTTTTATGAAATATTTATCAGATTGCAATAAAAATCTATGTGATAAAGCACAAATCACTTTTGTAATTTGCTTAACTAGATGTCCACATGTTAATGCTAAGACTACACGGTATGAGTTCGTGACATTGCAGCTGGTGTAATTGAATGAAATCTGAGTTCCCCGGGGTTATTTCCCATGTCATATTGACTTCAAACAAGACTAAGGACAGATGAAGGACAATTTTGTTGAATAAACAATCTTAAGATGACAAACTTTTTATTAATTACTTTAGCATAATATGGGAACCACTGGGAATACAACCCTAGAATTTCTATGTAACGGTATGTGGTGGGTGGTGTTCGGCGTCTGTAACAAATGGCATGTAGTGGTGTTCGGCGTCTGTAACAAATGGCATGTAGTGACACTTTGTTTAGTAATGCCTTATTGAATATTGTTTTAACATAAAATGTCAAGAAAATATAAATGCATAATAATTGTCGGGTATTGAACCTCGTACTCATTGCTTTAGAATCATTGATTGGCATTAAAAGGTCGAACGGGTTTGTATTTTATTTTTTTCCAATTGATTCTACAAGTGACATTTTCTAAATAGAAGCAACTATTAGGTAAAATATACTAATAGTAAAGTTCTAATTACTAAGTGATGGCGATAATTTTGCGAATTCAAGTTTTCAATAGACATGAAATAGCTCTTATTCCGAATAAACATATATACGATATAGTTTCTAATCTAGGATGGTGAAATCCATTACTTATTAGAAATAAACAAACTGTTCCTATTAACCAGGTTTATATGGGCCGTACAGCCATTAACTAATGGAAGTTTTTTGTTCAGTTTGCAGCAAATAATAATCGCAGTGACTGTATGTTTATTTGCTTCTATTGAACGTATTTGATGATATTTAGACACAGGGCTTCCCTATATTAGCAGAACTCAGGCATACTTAACGCGGCCACTGATCATAAAACCTTTATCATTTGCCGTGGCTACTTTAAAATGTATACACGAAAGCATGTTCATTTATACAATAGAACTAATTTAAAATATGTTATTTGTTTGAATAGTTATATTTCTGTTTGACATTATGCTCGCTTTTATTAACTTTTTATTACGTTTAAAATAAAAAGAAACAAACAAAAATGATAAAATATTGTCAGATGTATGTTAATTTAGTTGGATAAAGGTCCATAATCACTCTTGGCACATCCTCCTAAGCAGGTGTCCAGAATCCGTACCTCCGTAAATGAAAGAAGATATTCTGGATTTTAAAGCCCTGTGATCGGAGGATGCTCTTGGCACCACCTACAATAATCAATCTGATTTAGCCTCCACATTTTAAGATTACTATAACAAGATTAACATTAATCACTTCGTTATAATATTTTGACACTTTGAAATAATTAAGCATTTAGATATACAAGAAATAGGGACTTTGAAAGAATATAATCAACTAAATATAAGGTCATTATCACATTAGTTTCTGCGTTAGAGAAAATATGATTAGCATCGACCAGAGTCAATGCGTGGTTGGAATCACAATTTATAAAAAGAACACGGCTCAGTCTCCATGGTTACGTTTCTGAACGTTGGGGTCTGAGTAAGAAAGCAAATATGGTGGTCGGTCGTTATGCCACCTTCTTATGTGACATGATCAAGCTAGCACGGGACTTCATTTCTACCAATGTTACATTCCAAATAAAATTGATTCCAAATATATGAATAATACCGAAAACATTGCGCATCTTTAATGAATGTAAAATAGCTATAGATAATGAAGCTAAAACACATACATAGTTTTGACATTTAATTCCTGATTCTTTGAACCAAGCGAATTGTCACGCCCTTTGCACAGCTATATGTCAAAATAACAAAATGAAGAAGTCACTGATATTTAACTTCGGTACGGTACAGCGAAACAAAATAATATTGCACATTTTTGAGCGCTTTAAGAAAATGGAGCGAACATGTTCATTAGGCCCTCCCCTGACCGTGATTTAATATAAATCATTTTAGAATTGAAATCTAATTTAGGCTGTACCAGTTTAAAGGACGCAGGTCATCACAGCTTTTTATTTTTTAGTTAGAACTATTTTAGAAGACCATAATTTCTCATAATAGACCCAGGTTGTTAAAGTGCGTTTTATCACTGCAACTAATATGATGTTCTAATTAATTCCTTATTTATTTCGGGCAGGGTGGAACATCTTTATTTCTTGTGCCTATTCAAAAAATTTATTAAATAAGAGAATGCGATCTAATTGAAAATCTAGATAATACATGTGTGGACCGTGACTCTGCCATATCGCAGGTACATGTTGTGTCTGCCGCTGTCCGAATGTGTCACGCGTGGGGTGAAGGAGGAATTGAAAATGCGGAGATCGATTCACCTCCGGATAAATTGAGGGGAACAGGGTCGACAGTAATGTACGACCAATAATGAAATTAAATATATTGAATTTACATTAATCAGTCCAGCGAATTTCAAACTGTGATTGAATAAAGGGAAAACCCACTTGAAGAGTCTAAAAATGATATTATTTGCTAGATCAATGAAGGACCCATTGTCCCATCAATATTACATGCCATATATTATTTAGTGTTGTGTATATACCGCCAGACGTTAATCTTATGAAGCTGTTGGATTCATCAATTAGACACATCCCGAATCCCAAATCATACATTCAATTACCGAATGTCAACATAAAATGCATCAGGCGTGTTAGCCGTCCAACTGTAACAAATGACATTCTGTAAAGATATTATCATCCAAGTGCGTCAAAGTCTGAAAGCAGCTTGATGAAGTTAGTATTAATAACAAGTTTTTTCCTGTAAGGTATTTGTTGATGCTTCTGATTTATTTCTATTAGTACAGAGGCTACCGGTGTTGTGTATCAGAATGTTGGATTCTATTAATGATTTCATGGGTTTTGCAAGTAACCTCTTTACAAATCAATCTCGGTGGATCAATACGCCATGTAAAACACAACATTATCACACCCGATGCACTTATGCTTCCCCGGTGTGCCCTAGAACATAGCTAGCTGCAATGTTGATTGAACGATCCTTTAGAGAACTGAAATAAGTTTATTTAAAAGGGTACTCATATAATCGACACTGATTGAGGAACAATATTCGGAATCGAAGACTTGTGACACTAAGTTGAAGCACGAAGGTTGTCCCCCTCCATACATTTGCCTCCTTGGGAATTGCCATCAATACCTTTGTCACTGTGTTTGTACAACTTCAATTTGGCTTAAACGCCACAATATATGACGTTAAGTGAGCCATTTTATTCGTGATATTTTAAATAATAACATTAATTGAGTATGATTAAAATAATCATATACCGGTATACATGTACCAATACCTACTCTCAAGTATTGAACAGATAAGCAAATGCTATGGAAGAGCAAATAAAAAAAGTAATATAAAAATGTATTAAAAATAAATTAGAATTTCTCAATATAATGTTTGTTGCGTATTAGCCTTATTTAGGAATTATCTTTTTAACTACACACATACCAACTGTTATTTCCAAAAATCATTTCTTTTATTTTGAGGTAAAGGTCCAGTATGGCAAGTGATTTTAGACGGTCATATCTTTCACCATGAGTACTTTCTGGGCATAAATACAGTTTTTATTATTAAAACAATATGTTTTCTTTGAAGTGAAGTCCCCATGATGATAAAAATATCAATTGAACAATTCGAACTATTATAAATAGGGACCCCATGTCAACATTTTTTTCAAAATGTTGAACTTATTTGCTTAAAAGAGGATCTTCTTTTTCTGATTTTCATTGCATGAAAACATTATTCAAAAAGGGGTCTAAACATCTTCAAAAGTATATTGGTATCAAAAGTCTAGTTTTGAAGATATCAATTTTCGATGACCAAAATCATGCTGAAAACAATGGATAGCATGAGTTTTCCCTATGGGAAAATATCATGGGAAATGTGGTTTTTAACTTTATCGCATTTCAATACCCATCCCCTTTTCAGAAGTTATTAATATAGTGTAGAAGAAACTTTTGAGACATTTAAATTGAGAAAAACAAGATCCTCTTTTTAGAAAATAAGCCTTACATTTTAAAAAAGTGACAAGGTGGGGTCCTAATCCATAATTTTTCAAAGAGTGGGATTGATATTTTACTATCATGGGGACGTCACTTTAAAGAAAACATATTGTTTTGATAAAAAGCGTTGCATTTATACCCAGAAAATACTCATGGTGAAAGAATAGATATGACTGTCTAAAATCACTTGCCATACTGCACATGGACCTTTGGGCTTTTATTTACAAGATAGAGTACTTGATAGGCCTACTTATGTCTTTTTATTCCTCTCTTGTCGTTTATCACAGATATCAATTCAATGCATCATAGAGTATAGATTAGAAACCTAAAAAGTAATGTAATATTAGACACTTTAAAATCTGAACAGTGACATCGACAAAATACGCAAAGTATACTTACCAGCAAGGCCCAACAAGATTCCTATCAAGATTCGTTCATCCATATTTGATACGAGAGAATACAAACACAATAGTCTAACATCATTATCCAAGAGAATATCTATCGTTGTAACATGTTCCCGTATGTCATGTTTATTTCAGTCGGCAGAAGATACATTTCAGGCTTTGTCTGATAATGTTTACAACACATCAATTTTGTTTGTCAACGAAGTACTCCAGTGGTGTCAGTTATTCCAAAACCTGAAAAGCAATTGAACAATTTAATAGCACATTTCCTAGAGTCCGTGATTTAAGATCAATTCCTATGGATCACGGTGTTGCGATCTTTAAATTAAGTGCGATATCAAAACTATATAACTGTTTAAAAGCACTAATTTTAAATTTGAAAACTGTCATTAGTTTGCAGACGCTCTTTCTAAAAGTACCTACAGTGTAGTGTAGTCTACATTAACTGTACCAATTTGATCATCTACCCTCTTGCGTCAATTTACAACAGCATACCTCCATGGACGTAAACTAATATTAAACCGATATTGGCAGTATCTCATCCAGCTATCTCTCGCTGCAATACTGAAATTGTCCCAGGCTCCGACAAATAAAAGCCAATACCTCTGGCCGTATTAATGATTCATGGTTGGAAATCAGCACGCTCGAATTAGAACTATACTCCCGGGAGTCAGTATCGGTGTATTTCCTTGAGTTGTCTCACGTGATTAACAGGTAAAGGAGATACCAAATATTGGATAGACCTTTGACTGATGATGTTCAAGGTGCAAACATATAGATTATCCTATATGAGGTTCAGGATATTGGCATTATCCCGAGGCCAATATCTGCCGCTAGCGCGAGAGGGTCGAGGGCAGATGAACTAAAAGTGATATATTTATTTTGTACAATGTGTCATCTGAACGTTCATTTATTTACTCTTACCAAATACCCGAAATCACAATTGTCATTAAGAAACATTTTCCTGGTATTTTATTTGCCGATATCAGTTATATTCCCGCATGTTATTTACCTTTATTGTTGGTAGAGCATCAGTCTTTGGATCCGGGTCCTAGGTTCGATTCCCAAATGGGGCATTGAATTTAGCACATTGAATTTAGACTTTAGCTTTCTTTCATTTCTGTATCTTGTTATACAGGGTGACAAAAAAAACTGGAACCCACTTAAGTATTAATAACGTCGTCAATTATTAATATTAAGCTTAGTTATTTAGTACATGTATATATAGTCAACTGAATGTATGACAAGATGTTAAAGTTTTAGCATTCTAGCTCAATAAGTCTTCAAATGAGGCACGATTAGATAATGTGCTCCAAATGTGCACCACCACGTTGGATGCAGAGCTGGATTCTTCTTGCAAAATGGTCAATGACCCGACTGCATTCATCTCTGTCTATCTCTCTAATTAGTCTTCCAATGTTGAGTTTGAGGTCATCAATGGTCAGTGGACTATCTGTATACACATTATCCTAGAGATACCCCCACAAATAAAAATGTGGGGGTTCAAATCAGGGGAGTGGGGGGGGGGGCAGATGTGGCGGGTATGGTGACTGATTAATCAATCACCAAAGTGAGCCTGAAGCCATTGAATGGACTCATTTGAGGTATGGGGAGTGGCACCATCTTGTTGGAACCATTGCTGGTCCCTTCTCAAGTCACATCGTCTACCCAGCGCTCTCCAAAACTTTTGAACGTTAGGGATGTAACGTTCTGAGTTGACTGTTGAGTTGTCTTGAGTTCTGACAGACCTCTCTCTCCCCGCATAGGTTGGTTTACCATCACTTTAATTTTCTTCTTTGTTGGTTTTACAGTTCCTTCTGTTTCAAACTTCTGTACAAGCCTAAAGATCTGTGACTTGCAAGGGGCTCTTCTTGCCCTGTGATCTCTCCTATAGGCAGTTTGTGCCTCTTTATAGGATTTTGTCTCGATATACTTTCTCACAATATAAGTCTTTTCTTCTGTCGTCCATGGCATGATTAATATTTCAGCTACAGTACTCATTATGGTGTCATTTTGTCATGCATTTAGTCTAGTTTGTACCCTGAAGAAATGAAGAATGTAGGTATAATACTTTTCGAGAAATCTGATGATTTATGGGTTCCAGTTTTTTTGTCACCCTGTACTATGCTTTTTAGTTAGTCGTTCCCCTTAGGCGCTATTGCGTTGGTGTCAGATGTGGGATCAAAGCATTGGTTGGATCATTTGCCCCTGTGTGTTTGGTAAGTCACTGCTAGGGAAAGCAGGGTCGACCACGACGAGGGCGTGGTCATTTCAAAGGGGGATAGTTTAACGACCCTGGATATCGGGCTTTTATTTACACACGCTCTAATTGGTGATCGGTTTTTAAAACGATGTGATTCTCGTTTTCAAAACCCATCACCGGTTACCTTCATACTTTTACGTTATAAATAACAGGCCCATAGCCAGGATTTGGCAAGAGGGGGTTCACTTTTTGAAAAATTGAATCAACATTTTTTACACATCTTCCTTCTTTAACGTTTTAGGCAATGTTTTATAGAAAACAAACAAAATTTGAAGTGCCGATATGTGTACTTGTTATAAAGTCAATTGTGACTATTTTAGATCATATTTTCCGCTTCAGAGACTGGTATGTCACTTTATCAATCGATCTTTGTATTAGGGTATTGCACTTCACTGCTGCACGATGCATTTTCCAATTACGTTCCTTCTTTATTTGTTTGTTTTTTCCCAAAGAAAGCCCCCTTATCATGAAAACATTAATTAACTTTAAATGGTCTTATTCAATTCTTACGAAGTCAAGATATTGACGATTATTTATAGTCTGTCTAAAAGGCTATATAAAAAAGAACTATTAAAGTACTACTTCGACTTTGTACATGTTTTATATCATTTTTAAGTGTAAACATTTGAATGCTGATAAGGTAATGATTGTGTGGTTTAAGTTCACAGTCATCGTAACCTAGAACTTCTGAGAAGCCATACATACAACTGTGGACAACAATGGCAACACCCGGGGGAACAACACAGACTTCAAATGATGAAATTCTACAGCAAATTGTGAGTGCAGTTTAAAACCATTTCACTTATGTAATATATTCTGTTATCTTAATTCATTTTGCCTTATTTTAAAACGAATCCCTCCCACAGGGGTTTGTATAGAAGATAGGATAGAACCCTCGTACATGTACATGTATGTCTTCTAAGTCTTCAATCTTTAGAAAGGGAAACCGGAGTGACTTATGAGGAAAAATAAAAAATATTTTATACTTAGAATATGTCGAATCATTTCAATAATATATCTACATGTATATTGAACATATAAACTAACTAGGGGGGAAAATAACAGAGCAATCCATCGACTAGTTACTGAGAAAGGACCATGTGCAGTATGGCAAGTGATTTTAGACAGTCATATCTTTCACCATGAGTACTTTCTGCCCATAAAAACAATGTTTTTTTTGTTATTATTATTTATTATTGAAAATACTGGACTCGTTTCTATCTCCTGATAGTACCTAGTTTGTCATTAATTGATAAAAAACAATGCAAAAGAAACGTTAAACTGTCGATTAAATTATGATAATGATGATATAGGTCAAAAATGGTTCTCATATGATCATGTTTACTATGCGCATCAATTGAGAAAGACATTAAATAACTTTTTTTTCTTAATAAGTAACTCCGGTTTCCCTTTCAAAAGATTGAAGACTTAGAAGACGTACGAGGGCTCTGCCCAATCTTCCATACAAACCCCTGTGATCCCTCCTGAAGATTCTATATCATGTCTCAGTATACCCCCATGGGACATATTGTGAATGTATAAAGTAAACATATCAGTGCTCTAAGCTATTCGAAAAGTGTCTATTGAAGGGCCGTTTGAAGTTTGAAAGGTATACATACACAACGAAAAGATCGTGTCTGAATGATTTTAGTTAGGGGTTGGAAGTACCATTGATAAATCCTTTCATGAGCCGCATTTAAGTAGTTAACAATCAACAATTGTTTTAATTTTTTAGCTGTATGCATTCCCCAACGCTGATCCAGCAGTGGCACTTGACATAATTGAATCCAATAAGGAACAAGTCCAAGATGGTAGTGTATTCGGTGTAATAGCTGAAATATACGGTGTACCAACGACACGTGACGAAGCGTCAACGTCTATAAATCAAACAACTAATACAAGTGCTGTTAATAATGTAGTTCTAAGACAATGTGTTAATGCTGTTGAACAGTCAACCAAGGATGATGCACAAGGAAACACTCAAATTGAGGAAACCCCAGGAAGAACACAATATGTTGCGAATGCACCCTCACATCATGATATACTCAAGGATATCACTCGATCTTACTTTTCCCAACAGCATTCTTTGCATGGAGTTGACAACGTTACCTTCGATTTTGAAGAGGAACAAAGCATTGATGACAATGTAGACTTTAATCATAAGGATAAGGATGTTACAGTCATAAATCATGATCAAATGGGAGGTGGCAAAGTTGAAATTGAGGAAGACAATATTGGCACTGTGTCGCCCGCTAGAGTTACTATAGATGGAGGTATAAGAGAAGTATATTGTAAAAGTTCGGCTTTGGAAACATCTGAAATGAGAGAAAATGAATCTATGGACGACACTGACACACACAATCGCTGTAAACTTGACAAACATTCCAAACCACCTCTGGAAGATTGCAAAAGAGATGATGACAATGGCCATACAGTTGGGGTTGCTGATGACGATGACATTGATACACATGATGTTGTTCATTACAAAGATGTATCCGAATTCGTAACCGACTCAGTGGAGAGTATACACAAATCTGAACAACTGGTTTCCGAAACCCATCACGGCAATGATAACACTTCCATTGTAAATGCTAACACGATGAAATTAATTGACAATGCCAAGTTCGATAATCAAGAATGTTGTATTAATTCTTTAAAGGTAGCTGATAAACATTTAACTCGTCTTGTTGAACATTTAGAGAGTGAAAGAAATCAGACTGGCTTAAACGATGGAAGAATTATACCCGATTGTAATTTGACACCAGCTGTGAAACATGATCAAAAGCTAGTTAATAATAACACTCACGATAATATAACACGTGCTATTGATATGTCTGGGGACCCTCGAAAGAGCCCTGTTCAAAATAATACTTTTGACCTTGATGTAACTTGCCTCGTTGAAGATACAGAGAGTGAAGGAGCGGATGATGAGGTTGATGATGCACGAGGACGACGGGTGAGAGGAGAGTCTAGCGACGTGATACCAGACACACAACTTATTCCAATAGAATATGATTTAAATGAAATAAAGAATAAAAACGAAGCTTATAAAGCAACGGAATATTCTCTGGACATTGATGGGACGTATGATGATAATGAAGAATATGACGACGATGCTGAAAAGTTTCTTTTAGGGGAAACCGATTCAAGTGATTCTGAGAAAGGTCCCAACTTAAACTCTGGATTGCACAAACTAGAGGTTGATAATAATCAAAATTCAAAAATGTTTTCTAATAATGATTCGGCTACTATTAACAAAGTATCTAGTGATACTGATGGGCTGATTGCAAATGATACCGATATAAGTGGCTCTAATGAAACTATTTTAAAGTATGTGGAACAATATCCCATGAACGGTACTCTAAATCTTGATGTCCAGAAACCAAGTATTGAAAGAGATGAGGAAGATTCAGACAGTGACATAAGCGAGAGTATTATATGCCCAACATCTTCACAGAAACCTCCAGTTAAGCAAATGATGAAAGATCCCTATGATCAACCTGAAAGTGACAAGCATCCAGACAATTCTAACAACAAAGTGAACGACAAAAGTGTTTCCGATATTGATAACTTATCACATGATGTCAGCTCTTGTGAAGCAGTTGTAAATGCAACGGACCATAAAACACTCATTAATTTAGGAAGTGGTTCTGGAATACAAGGTGCTATAAATCCATTAGAAACAAATTTTGCTCGGACTAGAACTGATCATACACCTAGTCAATCCCAAGCCGATTGTCCTTCAGAATATGAGAAACCACAATCCTATGAATATTCTGAATACAGTATTGATTTGAACAGTTCTTGTGATGATGAAAATTCAAACAAAGGCATAGCAAGTAAAGATAATGAAAATTCGTACAAAGGCACAGCCAGTAAAGATGATGAAAATTCGTACAAAGGCACAGCCAGTAAAGATGATGAAAATTCACACAAAGGCACAGCCAGTAAAGATGATGAAAATTCGTACAAAGGCACGGCCAGTCAAGATGATGAAAATTCGTACAAAGGCACAGCCAGTAAAGATGATGAAAATTCGTACAAAGGCACAGACAGTAAAGATGATGAAAATTCATACAAAGGCACAGCCAGTAAAGATGATGAAAATTCGTACAAATGCACAGCTAGTAAAGATGATGAAAATTCGTACAAAGGCACGGCCAGTCAAGATGATGAAAATTCGTACAAAGGCACAGCCAGTAAAGATGATGAAAATTCGTACAAATGCACAGCTAGTAAAGATGATGAAAATTCGTACAAAGGCACGGCCAGTCAAGATGATGAAAATTCATACAAATGCACAGCTAGTAAAGATGATGAATATTTACACAAAGGCACAGTCAGTAAAGATGATGAAAATTCATACAAAGGCACGGCCAGTCAAGATGATGAAAATTCATACAAATGCACAGCCAGTAAAGATGATGAAAATTCATACAAATGCACAGCTAGTAAAGATGATAAAAAATCATACAAATGCACAGCTAGTAAAGATGATGAATATTTACACAAAGGCACAGTCAGTAAAGAAGCAGGAAGTACAAAACTGATTGAACCTTCTTCTTCGAACAGAGATGTGGAAGGCGTAGCTAAACATTCACTGGGAGCAATAACAAGGCTGGATGGTGATGAAGATCCAGTGTGTCAAGTCAATAAGTCTGCACCATTAACAAAAAGTAACCAAAATGATCAGAAAAATGAAGCGAGAACATCATGTTTTAATCGAATCCCAATATCACAAAATATTTTAGCAACGCTGAAAGAACAATCAAAGTCTAACAATCTCAGTTATGATAAATTAAACAGCATGGTTCTTGGGAAAGCGGGGGAAAATAACCATAGTGATCAACCAAATTGCAAAGGACCAAAAAAAGTAAGTGAAGCTAGTTCTACAGAATCAAGGTATCCGATAGTTGCTCCTCAAAGAATAGTCAATACCCAGATGTCGATTATAAACTATTTTGGTAATGGAGGAATAACCCCTTCGCAATTAATTCAAAAATGTAACAACGACCAACATAAAATAACAGATTATTTCTATAAGGAACCTGCAGGAGATGCAATCAGTTGTCATAAACCATGTCAAAGTGAAATCCAATTAACGTCAACAACAGCTGGTACAAAACACCAAGAAAGCATATTAAACAAGGCCTTCACGAAAAAGGATACCAAACGACCCTTAGTCTCGTATGATGTAAGCTCAGATAGTGAAAATAACTCAAAAGGTGGCAATGATACAACATTGGCCTCTAACCGCCCAATGGATACATCGAGTTTTGTAAAAGACTCAAAGAAATATGACTGTTGCACTACAAATAATCAACAACAGATTGCGACTGATGTTGAAAATATGACTGAAAACGCATCGGATCTAGAACTGGAAGGGCAAACTAAGCGTCGACATACCTGCTCCAGAAAACGCAAAGTAAGCTGGGAAAATACAAGTTCATCGGAATTTGAAAAACCAATAGGCAAAAACATTACAAAATCGAAAAAGCGACATCGTCGTAAAAGAAAAAGAAATGAAACATTCTGCCCATTTGCACTCGGTTTTATGCCAGGCCAGGCAAATCGAAGGTCAGTTCCCAAAAGTGTAGCAAGTAGTGAGACAGACCATATTAGTACTAACCCACTTAACTTGGCATGTGAGGAACAACATGACAAAGAATTTGATGAAGATATGGAAGAGGGGGTGTCAAGGAAAGATTCGAGTACCGGTGAACGTACGTCCAATGGCAGTTATTTGGATATTGATGGTAGTGACTTTGGAGGAGGTACATGTAGCTATGAAGTGCATGTGAACAATGAATATGAAATAGGAAAATCTGATCACAATAAAGATGCTCCCGAGAGAATAAATGAGGGATCTGACACGGATATATTTGAAACCAGTGAGACACGAGAATCAAATCGTTTCAGAACTAGAACTATACTAAAATGTTACTGTTCTGATTCCGATGATTGTGATTGTAACTTTCTTGGTCCAATTTCTTTAGTAATACCAAATAAAGATGGCGCATGTGTCAATACAGTACTACCTCGGCAGACGAAAGGAATTATCAAACCACCACAATTGAATCCTTATGTTAAGATTGAAGACGTTGATGGCGATTTAGATGGCGCTCGGTCCATATACATGCCATCGGGAAGCAATGCATCATATTCGCATCATTTTCAGGATGACCTTGATATCGAAGCAGAGCCTGATGGATCGTCAGATGATTCGGACTGCACGGTATTTGATAGTAAGTTTCGGAAAGAAAGCCCTAAACAAGATATTGGAACTGGGTTTGATCCAAACAATAGACGCAGAGCAACTAGGCCTTGTTATCAGGTTCAGGATTCCAGCAGCCCAACTACCGATTCTGATAGTGATGACGAGACGTTTTCTTTAGACAAAATGGGACTACCTGCACTAAATAATTTTAAAAGATGAAAATAATTCCGACTTAAATGGTCTTATCCCCGGGGCCTTATCCTACTTATATTGTGCCAAATCTTATTAATTGTGATAACAATGAAACGACTTCAAATCAGTGTCATTAAGATCCAAAGTTTGGTCAAAAGAATAATGCCACTATTTAACGAAATAGTCATGAATATATTGGCACAATGGGTTAGCATATTATGATATTGGCAACAAGTTCATCATAACACAACAGAACAAAAGGGGCCACACTGGCGGATCTGGGGGGGGGGGGGGGGCTGGGGTAAAAAAAGCCTCAATAAGTGGGCATTTTTGGTCATTACGGGCCTTTTAAGGCTTTTTATTTCTTAATTTCAGGCCAAATTTTGAAGAAAATGGGCCTCAAAATTTTAAAATTTGGGCCCACTTTTGGGGTCAAGCGGCCCAAAAAAATTTTCCGGAAGTTTTTTTTTCTCTGACCTGAAATTACCCCCCCCCCCTTGTTGGTTCCAAGATCCGCCCCTAGGTCAGGCACCCACGCCGGCATACGAAAGGGTTACCATTAACGCATACAGAATATCCAAAAAGTACAAGATGTTCTTACAAGAAATGTACATAAGTTAATGCTTATGTTATGGGTAGTTAAAACTGTAAATAATTCATCCGTCCACTAAAACTTTAATTTCGTGCTCACACACACTATCACAGTGACTATGTATCGAATTGCCAAGTTGTCATTGTAATTTAATGTGGACACATATGATCGTGTTCATTAATTCAAAATTAAATGAAACGTCGAAGGGGAAATATGGACATATAAAATATGGGACGGGGACGTCATTGATCCCTAAATTACTTTGACATTCGCCATCACATTGGCCTCAACTTTCAAAACTGCACCAACCATGCATGAAACCTTTGAAGCATCCTGATCTGGCTCTAAAGTTTAAAACAGTCAGTTCTAAACCCATTCGATACATTGCGTTTGGGGCACTAGTTGCTCTTCAGGCCTTTACATATTTTGATGCGAGTGGATGTGTATAATTCAAATCAATGGGCTTTAGTTGGATAATAACATGCAAATAGAATAAAACATCAAAACCAACGAAAATATTGTAGTCATTTGATTTTTATTCAATTATTGTATTATCTTATATATCTTTTTCATTATGTACATTATTAGACAAAATGTTAATACATTGACTGATGAATAGGAACTGATATTTATAAGGCACATTATTGCATTCAAGTTGTCTTGAGAATAGCATTTTTGAAGATATTTAATAAAGGACATGGAAAACCTGTTATTCAATTTGTAGGAATATATATGTATAGGCAATGCATGTGATTGATGATATATGCATATATAAATATTACATAAGAGGAACAGTTTATGAGATAGTTACGTTTCCAAACTTATTGAGGAAGTATATTTTCAAACCGGAACAATTGTTGCTGCATGTGACACTCTGTCGTCCTTATTACACTTTGTATTAGTTACCGTAAACTCTACAACCTAATTCATACAAATATATAAGGATTTAAGCCCTGTACGCATTGTGTTTGCTGAATCATACCATGAAGGTGTTGTTTCCAAATCTTCCCATGGCCGCGCAGCGGAAATGCAAAGTATAGGAAACAACATCTGAGTGGAATGATGCAGCAACAATGCATTGAGTCTTGAGCTTAAATTCTTTTCACACATTGCAAAATATTTTCTACAAAACCAGATGAAAAGGGGAGGGGTAAATATTGTTGTAGGCCTAATTGATATTATAATTTTTATCTTTTCATGATGTATAAAATTGTTTCATTGTGCATGGTCACTGATCTCTTCTATAGAGTGCTTTTGTATAGTGCGACGGATAGACACCCCTCAAGCCTTGATGCTTTCAATGGACACATTTAAGCTAGTTTGCTGATGTGGTCCGTTTAGGCTAAATAGCTGCTTCATTATCTTATAGTTATATTTCATATTTCATATATTTCAACATTGGGATAATGAAAATGTCATTGGTAGAAACACTTTGATCGTTGCAACCAAGGACATCTAACTCGAGATAGACGTCCTCGTTGCAACGAAACAGTTGTACAAATCACTGTAATAGTGCGCGTGCCCATCAGGTGCTGAACACAATACAAAAATCGCTTCGGCTAACATAATGTGGTATATGTATCTTGCCATTCTATATGATTTTAAAGACTGTTTCTTTATGTAAGAGAATATGTGTGCACCTTTACACTTTACATTCATCGCAGTCATTATTCAACGCCGTGAGCTACCTTTCGAAAGGGTGCTTCACTTGCAGCTTTTGCAGCCTATTTGCATTTATTTATAGACACTGGCCAACGAAGACCTGTTACTTAAGACCTGTTCGCTCTTTCCAATGTCGTCATAATTCCTTTCCGTATCTGTGCAGTGACCTTGACCACGGGTTATTTTATCACTACTATCATTGAGAACATCACATTATGCATATCGTGATCTTTATTCTGTCTAGTGTGGCATTGCCTATCAACTCGCTTCTATGTACTACTGACGTCCATTGTTATTGGTTCATTGTGGACACTGCGCCATTTGTGAGCTTGAATAATGCTGGGACATGTGATACTCCTGTGCTTTTAGTCTGAGATTAGTAATGCTATTTCCTACAATATTTGGAGAGGTAGTATTGTATTTATTGTTTGCAAGAGCACAACTCGATAACGTGTTTAGATTGGCTGTTGATGACGTATTAATCGTCTGCGTTCCTGAATAGGGGGCGCTGGTGGTTGAGGACGGCCATGTCAGGTAATCTCCAGTTATTGGACTAGGGCGAGCTGTGATTGGTTGATCTGAGAGTGGAGGACTTGCGGATTCAGAAGAATGGGAATAAAGTGGACTCCGCTGAGAGAGAACATTGCGTTCGTTACGTCTGAATTTGGCTCTCCTGTTCTGGAACCAAACCTACAAAACAAAAAATAAAATGATGTTAGAAATATTCGGTATGCAGAGTACTATTATGTACTAGTCTGGTTGCGTGGGCTTTTACAAACATTAATTATGGGAAACCAAAAGTCTCAAAGATGTATATAATGATATGTACTGTACAATAGGTTGCACTTCCAGTCTATATACAATAGAGAGGTTTCGCAAAACGAATTAGCTAAAACGTAGCCGCATCCGCATCTCGTTACGTTTACGGATACGTATTTCGATAATTTTCGTTTCGCAGTTCGTTTTTTGAAGTACGTAATTATAAACGCATCTCAATCCGTGTTTAATAGTAGTGAAAACTAGGGTCAAATAAAAGGCTTCATCTGCACTAAGATTTCAAAACACCATTGGGAGTGTCAGCTTTCAGAATCACAACTCCAAAAGTATTTTTGGTGAGTGCAAAAATACATATTAACCCTTTCATCCCTAAGGTGTCATTTATTAATTTCATGACATCAATTTCAAAATGAAGAAAATCCTTTAGGCCAGAAAAGATTATTTCTCGGTTTACAATAACCAATTCAGTGTCAAATTATACCTTTGGGAATATTTAAGGGTTTGAAAACAGATAGGCTGAATAGTGGTCATTAAGTGACGTGCAGTGACTGCATTATGCCACAAAATGCGTAAACATTTCTAAAATCACTTGCCATACTGCACATAGACCTTTAATTTCATGTTTTTGCAGCTGTATATTTTGGGCTCATACATGGGCTTTAGTTGAAAACCCATGCCTCATATAAACTAAGGAGGGGAACAAAGTAACATATTTGATCATAGAAAGCGACACAAATACATGTATATCAGTTATGCAATAAAAGTATGTTTTGTATGAGCAATCAACAAAAAATATATTATGTAAAAAGATAAATTAGCATTGTTTTTCTTGAATTCATTGAACAACAGGGGACCAGCTCATCAGAGAACGACGCGAAGCTAACGTCTACCATGCCAGTTGAATATCTCACCATCATAATACCCTATGTCCCCTTTGGGGTCTACATAGAATCGACTGATAAACCAACAACATAATACCCTAAACCGGCCATTTGTTTCTTATCCCAATAAACACCACAGCCTGATCGGACACAGCCCACAACTCGACATATATAACCTATTACAACAAAACACAACCTAGATCACCAATTATGCAACAGTACAATAGAACATAACCCAGTGTCAAAATACTCAGAACGCAATATAGCATAACCCAGCACCAAAGCCAGCATGGCGCAACCTGACTTACAACCACCAAAACACAACCAACTGTCAGATTAACACAATATGTCACAACCCAATAATAAGACAACAAAGACGAACACAACCAATTGTTGAATTAACTCAACACAATTGTGCACAATCCAACACTTAACAATTAAAACACAATCAGGCACAACCAATAAAACACAACTAAACTAACAACCATGAAAACACATCGAACTGTGAAATTATCACCACACAATTTGGCACAACCCAATGTTAAACCAACAAAAGCAAACACAGCCCATTGTTCAAGTAACACAACACATTTTTTCAAAACCCAAAACCAAACAATCAAAACAAAATCAGGCACAGGCAAAAAGAACACATTAAAATTGTAATACCGAGATTCACAACTAACTTAACCCAATTGGAGACAACGCCTATCACACAACACAATCAGACAAAACAAGAAACCTCACCCGACTAGCCACAACCAGCTAGCCAACAAACAGAACATATTCACAAGAGAAAACAACCCATTATAAGATTAACATAACACAATGGGACACAACCCGATACTAAATCACCAGACTAACAACCATCAAAAGAGAACCAAGTCTCAAACGTACTCAACACATTTCGGCAAAACCTATACCTACTTGACACTAACCCACCATTACACAACCAGGCTTAGTCAAATACTCAATCGATTTACTCAACCCATCAAAACACAATCAGGCACAACCAATAAACCACAACGAAACGTTGATACCGATTCACTCAACTAAGTTATTCCAACTGGAGACAATCGCACAAAACAATCGGGGACAACCCGATATCTACTGAATATGTACTTGAATTGCAACCCCCCCCCCCCTTCCCTATCATTACATAGTATGTCAGGCCTGTCTTTACAAAAATGAAAATAGGAAATGATACGGTGGTTCGGGGAAGCTTGGGCACTTAACTTTAGGGCACTAGTCTCCCTGGACCCCCAAACGAGGCCGCTTACTATTTGACATAGATCGCATGACTTGATGCATGTTCAAGTCATACCACGGGAAGAAGCTACCTGGCTAGAATTTTTTTCAAAATCATTCAGTTTTTCATCATACTGAGCACTTCTTGGGAGTTTTAAGCCAAAAAAGCCCCCCCCCCCCTTTGCCACAAGCTGGATACGGGCAAGAGTGATGCGGGGCGCCATCTTTAGACCCAATATCACATTCATTGTCGAGGTCAGGAACAAGCTACTATACTCAAACTAAGCCCAAGACCCTGCTCTATATGAATTCGGAGCGTGACTTAAGGCACAAAATATATATTCAAGTGGCCTAGCTGCTAACCATTGGTTTGATGTCCCTAAGAAATTGACTACGGTATTACTATTGACCCCAGAAACGATAGACCTTACATCTGCCTATTAGCAAATGTGACTAAAGCTTTATTTGCAAAAATTGCAGGCCCATCGCTTATAATCAAATATATCGGCAGATAAGGCTATTACTTCATCAAAATTAGCACGACACACATGATAACATATGTGTGTTACTAAAATTATACATTTAGGAAAAAATTTATCAAGATTTGAAGGACAAAATAGATACGGAGACAACTACGCACAGAAAGTGTTAGTTTACGTACTTTCGGTATTGCTGTTGGTATCACAAACTTATTGAGTACACTTATACTCCATCGATGCGTTACGGATTTTGATACGGGTAGCTAAAACGTTGAAACATGTACACTGTAATTATTGTAATACCATTCCATACAGTGTAAAATGAATTGAACATACCATTTGAAAAACTCAATTTATTTCAAACAATAAACAAATTCATTCACCAAATTTTAGTCAAATTATACACAGCACACTGTGCTTGTTCATATAGTGATACCTTTAAAACTAAAAACAATATAATCGAAGGGTAAAATCGGATACGTAAATGACCAACGTACAAAATCCTCATTGTTCGTGTTTTCCGTATCATTTCACGTATAAATTGAACTGACTACGCATAAATCTGATAAATACGTTACGGATACGGATCCGTGGAGCTAAAAAACGTTTTGCGAAACCTCTCTAATATATGTAATATTACGTAAGATTACCTGAACTCTTGCTTCGCTGAGTGTCACCCTCCTGGCCAGTTCCTCTCGTACGAAGGCGTCTGGGTAGTGCGTCCTCTCGAAGACTCGCTCCAATGCGGCAAGCTGGGTACTGTTGAATGTGGTCCTGTTGCGGCGCTGTTTCTTTCTCTTCTTCGTCTCGCAGCTCTCTAGTTCAGATTCTGTTGCTGTAAATATACGAACGTGCGATTGTTATGTATTGTTTATTGGGATATATTTGCTTCATACATGATACTTCAGCCGTACTAGTTTGATTTAATTTACTATTTACTATTACTATTTATTATTGTAATTGTAATATTTATTGTTGCATGTACTGGCCTTAATTATCTAGTGTTATATATTTGATGATGTTCTTCAAGAGAAAGGTAGCCGTTTTTATAATTAATTAATATAAGGTAACGTTACCAGTTTATTTGTAAAAATTTTGACTTAAGAAACAGATACTTATAATATTTATTTTCGTCATTTAATAAGTAGCCTAAATCAATGTTTAATTGGGCAAGGATTTTTTGATTATTGATATAAAATAAAAGTTACAAATCCGTAAAAGGAAAAAAAATGAATCGATACCCGACAATATTATTTTTAATCTACCCTGAATCCCCGTTAATGATTTGCCAGACGAATGGCAGAAACAAATTGTTTTACTAGACTAAAGAATTACCTCTAACTAAATGTACATAGAATTACAGTTGAGTGTGATTGAAAATGGGTATCCTTGATTTAACACAAATAGTGGTTCCATAATTCGTTGTAAAATTACTCTTCTTATGTGTAACTACTAACAATACGAGATCGCCTTGCTAAATTACTCATGAAACTTTGTGTTTTTTGTCTTAATAAGTTATGTTATGGACAGGTGCTTAGACTGACATATCTCTCAAATCATAATTCCTGACGGTTTTATATTTTAAACTACAGTATTGTGTTATCAAGTTATGCTGTCGGTGAAATTTATGAGAATATATTACATAGCTCATTGTTGCATTTGATCGTTATTTATGATAGTGCAGCATTGGACGATAATAACTATATATCACTATTATATTAATCTCTATAGCTAGCTATCAACAATATGCTTCACTTAAAAACGCACGTTCTTTGCGATTGATCTCTAGCCTAATCCTTCATTTTTTCGCCTCTGTCATCACTAGTGTTATGCATCTCAGAGTACCGTGTTCCCACGCATACAATGACAGCCAATAGCGCCAACCAGCAAACCAGTCTGCGAACTTTTGACAAATGACCCTATTTAAACTTCATAGCATCTAGGATTAATGACTTCAGCTGCTGGGGTACTTTGTCAGCAGACAATCATCGAGAAATTTTAACCACTAGATGTGTTTTTAACAATATATAGAAAGGTGCTTTATTTATGACATTCGTGTTCATTTCATGGTATTTGGTCATGTCGTTCCGGAAATTCTTCCAACTCTATGAACGGAACAAGAAACTCACGAAACATTTCGGCAATATTTTTACTTCAGCCCTATCCAACAATTAAGAATCTACGAGAAATACTTTACACGGCACATCGAGCGTATGAAATTACGCAAGAAATATAATTATTTGCATGACCTGAATTTAAAAACCAGTTTGATGTTGACAACGCTGATACAAACAAAAATGTAAAACAATCATAATTTTGTTTGTACGAAATACACGGTCGAACGAACAACATAGCTCGATATTTTAATTTCACCCATTTGATATAAAAAATCTAAAAGAAAAATTGTTACGTAGTCACAAGAACATAAACATATTCAAACTGCTATAACATTTTCCCATATGCAAAACCGCAAACTACAAACAACATAATAGGCCATAGTATATTCTTGGAGATAAATTGATGCGTTGCTGTTATCTCGTGTTTGTGTACAAACTTTGCCATTCAGCCACAAGCCTCAAGTGTGCGCCAATTACAAAATAATCGAGGTTTGTTTATCTTTAATTATAAACGTCAATCCTTATTATTCCTGCTATACTTTGCTTCGAAGAACTCTCCAAGTGAAAACAATGATATGCGTGTTTTCCTTGTATTACACCATGATTTGTTTTGTAGGTTTCCAGCTTTTAATCGCGCAAGCCCTCGGCAAAACATTCCTCGTAATTTTGATGTTGCTTTTTAAAAATAGATCGATAAAAACAAGAATTGTGGAATTATCAAATAAACATAAAAATGAGAAAAACAACCAACTGCAAAACACAAAAAGTTCAACTTGATCATGAATTTAAAAACCGTTTCCCATGGCTTAAACTTCTAGCTGGGATTGATGATGGTAGCAAGCATTCTCCCTTGAATCCTGTCATCTCTCAGCAGTAGCAACCCGGGATATTTGGCGGGTAGAATTTACGTCGCCAATTTCTTGCCTCACAAACATTGATCTCTCATTTCGCAGACGACTTTAGGCGGCTGCCGACGATACGTTCTGGGAGTGATGAATGCAAAACTGTTATAGTATACAAACCATTTAAATTGGTCAATCTATAAATCAACTTGCAATTAACATATGCATACATCATGAACTTAAATTAACTCAAAAGGGACATGATTCCCAGAATGTAACATCTAATTTCGAAATTACGATTAGTTTGAACCAATGTCGATCGTTTCGGAATCTTCAACTTTAGAACGAAACGATGAAATTATAGTCTTGTTAACCAACGTCTGTAAATTACAACCATTAATTATGTTAATCTGTGTTCCCAAACAGTCGAGGAAAATGTATCATTTTATGTACCTCAAAGACATTTGATCAGAAAAGTGGCAATTCTACACTGGTATGTGGTTAATGTTTTCCTTCAGACGAGTGTTGGCGTCTAACATGTCTAGATCCAAGGGAAACGACACGGAACCTTATCCAGGATTCTGATTGCCTGTCTTTCCGTCTTTAAACTTGCTATGTATGTTTCTTAGGGTGTTTTAATTGATAAGATCGTTCAGATCAATGCGTGGGAGAAAAAGCAAGTTCTATACTTTCTCAATGTTATACATTCAATTCCAATTTTTCAAAGGCGCACTAATAATCAGAAAGTCCAGAAAAATTTGCGGAAAATAACTAAATGTAAAAGAAAGTTGAATATATCCAGGGCAAATGGGTTTCTAGTTCTTATTCCTAATCATGCATCACCAAATGTTTTATCAGAATAAAATGAGCAACCTGCGTTTTGTAATTCGAAGCATAATATATGCCAAGTCTCACAACACCATACCGCACTTAATATAAGTAGTAGCGAAACTGATGGTTCAGGCGCAGAAACACGTGTTGGCCATAGATCATTTTTACAGCGCAGAAGTGCACAACTTATAACCTTTTCACATCGTCTTGACTCGTAGTTTACTGTTCATAATTGCCAACTTACAATAGACACACAGATCCAACTTGCTGCCACTTTCAATTACCTCAGAGATTCGACACGACAACAATTCCGCAACTAATTTCTAACACTTTGCTTTAATGAGCAATATTACCGCAATTTGTCCAAACAATTCTATTCTCAATTTTACAACATTGTTCAGGATATCCAAAGAATCTCTTACAGAAGATATTAAACAACATAAGTTTGGACCGAGAAAATATATTAAATTGAATACACAGAAAATTAGTTATTTGGTATTCATTTTTTTCAAATCGAAAATCAAGTTACCATCCACTAATTATTTTTTAAAAGCAAAGTAACCATTTCATTCATCAAAACGTTTCCCCTTAGACCTAGAAATAACTGTTAGATCATATATCATCTTAAATTACAATTATCAAATCATTTAGTGTTCATAATCAGTTTTATCAGGAGCACACTTGTTTGGCACTTAAAGACAGCGATAATACACTAGGGATCCAATAAATAGAATACTTTGTAATTAACACCCTACGAGTGGGAGATATAGATTTTCACACGTTCGTAGTAGTGCGAATGGTCCCGAAATGGCACTTATATTGTGATTTTAAATTTCATTTTCATTCTTTTCGTTTCTTTGCTTTGAAGGTGTTTTGAATATATTTTTTAGTAATTTGGCTTGCCCACTGGCTAATGTGATTAAACCTATCGTTTATGGACAGTTCAAAAACATAAACGTTATGCAATATAGTAATTAAAACTTGATAAGTTATACTAACACACAAAGGAAGACATATCAGAAAAAGAATAGGTGCTCCAGGAATCAAAATGGTTCATTGTGAATGAAGAAACGATGTGTTTAAAATTAAAAGCGTAGCTCAACAACCAACTGTAATACTGCAAGCCATATAAATGCTATTTAGTTATATTTGTTTTCGAAAACGTCTGTGCAAGTTTACTTTAGAAACACAAATACAACATTTATAGGATGTTGAAGCGAACAGATGGTGGATGATAGACATTCTTGCCCCATTACTGAGCTCATCTTGTGAAACTTGACCCTTATTTTAAGTAAATCTTCCTGCTATTTAGTTCACTCTGTATTGCTGTGGTACTTGCTATACCAAACCTGTGGTTAGATCTAAACCAGGATTGTTAAATGAAAAGTAAAAATGTATCTAGCCTAATTATGCCGCAAGATAACAAGTTCGTAAGATTTATGAGATAAAGTAAGAGTGAGGTTTCTGGTCCTCTAAAATTAAAGAAACTTAAATCTTGAATTAGCAATAACTGATATTAAATGATAATTCCTATCAATAGAATAATTGGTGAAATATTCACATACATAGAAAGAGTACATTTTCAAAATTTACATCTATATCATACATAAATTGTTTTTCTGAATTATTTTCTGTATTGTGCAAATAAAACCTCAAGATAAATAAAAAGTAACTTGCAAAGATAGTCTACATAGTGTGCTTTTATAAAATAACTAATATTCCTTAAAGATTGCTTTCTTTTTAAATATCGTTCAATGACATTTATATGTGTTCATGTTTTGTTTATTGCATGTTGCCGCGTGTGCTTTCTTTCTCAGATTCTATCCGGACAGAGGATTTGTCTAAAACAAAATTGAAAATTGAATAATTGAATTATATAATTAAGTAAGGCTGTGTTCTTAGCAGGTTACCTCTGTGGAACATCTCTATGTAATCTATACACCTCACTTATTGGATGATTGACAGCTAAAATTGTCAGTTGGTTCAATCGAAAATACATTATAAGTAACCGTATAGTTTGTGATCTTACAAATACAATTTACGTTGTAGTTCACTACTTTGGTCCTATTATTTTGAAATGTTTGTGTCATTCAAATAACAACCATTGCAAAGAAATTTAGCAACTTTTTCAAAAATAATAATTCAATTTCAGAATTTAATGCTTTGGACTCGAGTCATTTCTTGTCACGCCTATCTTCTAATAAAACTTCAGGGAAATGATTGATCTCATTGTTTTATTACTTGTTTTTCACATTCACCATTTTGAAGAATGGCCAACAGTCTCGAATATTCTCAAAACCGAAATAACTGCCTCATGGATAATTTAAGAAATACATTACGAGTTTAAAATATTAATTAGTTAGTTAATTGCAAAGTTTTGTCATCCCTGCCTCTCTCACATATATGTGATTCTAGCTTCAATATAACTCATGCCGCGACAATGAATCTTGTGATTTAAAAAATGAAATTTGGAAAAATTGGTAAAGAATGTGATGTCCAAATTGTTTTCTTCTAAACGATACATCTTTAAAATTGATTGAATTACCTTAAAAATATATACCACAATGTAAACGAAAAATATTAAACAACAGCTTCTGGTGAAAAAATAGTATACTTATAGAAAATTATTTTTTAAACCTTTGATTAGATACATTCTTCATCTGAGCCATCTTAAAATTAGCTAGGAAAACTAAAAAACTAAAAACCAGAATAGGTGTCTGAAAAATAACCAGTCTATCTTGAAAAAGAAAACAAATTCAGATCAGAATTCATCTGTTCATTGTACACTGACTGTATACGTAAACAGGTAAACATTTTCTCAAAATAAAACACTCGCCTGGCCTAATTGAAGATATACGGTCATACACGTATTCTAAAATGACTTCGATTTAAGACATCTTCGATCCATACACATGATTCTCGTCCATTTGAACTATAACGATTAGTTTTCTATTTCAATTTCTATTAATCATACTTAGGAAAATATTCAGCTCTTGTCAAGTCAAAGCCCCTAAAGAAACGTGTGATTAAAAAGTGTTTCCTCGATATTACGGTCTTGAATGAATGACATGCAAATATTCTGTCTCACCTTGACATGTAGGTCTCTGCATATTCTGTTCATCCTGGGTATGTGGGTGAACTTCATCCATGTGTCGCCTCTGTTGACTTATTTGCTCGTCTATATGGGGGCTCAAACCAGGGGGCTGTCCAGCTTGACCCTGTGGTTTCGGTGGTCCCTGGAGATTCGTCTTCGCATCACTTGTGTGTTGGTTGACAGCGTTGTACATGGCACAATCCTGGCGTTGGACAGGGCCCTGTAAGTCGAGCAGATGACTAACAGAGAAACCTCTAGAGTTATTGTTAATATTAGGAATATGTGGATAGTTTTGAAGTTTATCAAAACTATAGCTTGTGTTCGGCTGGTGGGCCAACGTATAGCTACTCATGATGGAGAATAAAAAAATCAATGTCAACTTATTTTGGAATCGTATTTGGGAACCTGTTTTCTAGTGATCCCTCTGAAGATTGTTTCCTGGGGTTGTATTACATCCACTACTTGTTGCTTACGATATCTTGTTTTGACTTCAAAGATGACAATTTCCTTTACAGTCTAGAGTTCCCAAGCTGGCGAGGTCATCAAAGCCCTAATAGTATTCGGGATTCTATATATTGTCCCAAGAGTCCCTGAGACTTTGTTTGTCATGTCATTCTCGTCATTTTTGTCCATCAAGTGTCGTTTCATTCACTGATTCAAAATAATTATATTTAACTTGAAGTAACTGTTATATTCTTAATATTGTAATTGATTTGAGATTTCAAAATCAACTTCTTGTTAGTTTTCAGTTTAATTCAATCTGTCCGCATGATCATCCACTCTGCTGATGTCGTCTGCAAAAATACTGATGCATTATGGTTGATTCCCGCGTGTTTTATCTCCTTATCGCCTACTTTAATCGCTGTTTAAGAGGATGTGCTTTCAGTTTTGAGATAAGAGTATCATGTATTGGAGCCTTTACCCTCCTATTATTTCAAATTCAAAGACTCGGGCCCTGTTGCTTGCTAACAGAGCATGAAAACTTTAGTCATGTTTGACATAGACACACCAGACTCATATGATCATCTTGTGACTTATGTTTCCAACAAATTGTTGTGATCAAAATCCAGCCCTATTTGACTCATACTTGCCCACAAAACTATTATTTAGACAATGAAAACATTGAACAAGTTTTTCCTGCAGTGGATATAAACGCGTTTCTGGTTTTATCCATAAAGCTAGATGTAAGGGAATCAACGTGGCCCGGTTTGTTGAAAACCTTCAAGTCGAGACTTCTGGCAAGTAGGGGCCAACGGGCAAGCAAGAACCAACAATGTTCTGAATATAGAGAACAACCTTTTCTCATGCAGGCCAGCCACATGCGGAGGCCTTATTGAGCGGAGCATGGCCAGGAAAATGTATAGCAGAAATGATGTTACTCAAAGTCGTTTACAAGGTAATTTAGAAGGAAACACGATAGCTATTCCTTGTATTTGAGAATTACTTACCACCATGTGTTCCACAGTCTCAGATTTAAAAAAGAAAAGAATAGTAAACTCGATTATAATCTTAGAAAATTGATATCAACCACTACATACGTAGTTACACATGCTTCTCTATCTGCTCTTTGGATAACAGAATAGAGATATTGCGTACCAGAGACCATAAAGCAAAACTAATTTATCTGATAGAGCACAACCGATGCTGAATGAAGTGAAAAATCACCAAGTTCACAAATGTCACATTCTTCCCATATGAAGTAATGCAGGAGTAATTTTTTTATTTTCATTTAATTGTGACATGCACTTCGAATTCATCACTGTAAAGAATGTATAGTGGCAAATCCCAGAACCCCATATAAAATTCGTGACTCCCAGGTCTGAACAATTATGACATCAAAAGAGCAGACACACATCATAAAACAACAGATTGCCATTGTGGAATGTATTTTATCACGTTCGTTATTGTGATGTATTGCTTTATATGTTAATGACTACAATTACGAAACGACAGTAAAACGTGTGGAAGGTATCCCAAATGTCAAATTTGATTTTTGAAGCGATCCACTTCAACCATCAACGGGAAAAATTTATGTTACTTTTGTCTAGTTCTTTTCTTTCAACACAATGTTATGGATTTAGCTTAGCATCTCAACTGAACACAGAAAGTGCAAAAATGACAGGCGCAAAAATCAATGAGTGAAACAAAACTAAAGCATAACATAACACATGGAAAAGTTCAGGTATTTCAAGTAAAAAAGTGGATGATTTTATTCAGAAACTTAATGAACTTCATGAAACTGAATTATCATATTGCTTTCGTAGCATTTTTGAAAAAATATAGGAATTGATTACAGAAAAACGTTTGTGTTATTCTATTTCTTGATTTTAAATAAATTTAATTACATATAGACAAATAGTTCGTGTGCGTAGCCAGCTTTCAGTCAGGGGGGGGGGGAGGGTGCGATCGCCCCAAAAAAATTCGGGTTTCAGCAAGTCGTGGGATCCGATCGTGGCAATTATGAGGTGGGGTGCGTTCACACCAATCGCACGCCGCACGCCTCCCTCTGGCTTCGCTCATGTAGTCATATAGTTAAACAGTAGACACGAGTTACCGAAGTTCACCATTACAAATATTTGAATAATGAATAGCATGTTATAATCAATAAGAAAATATGAGCAATTTTTGGCGCAGGAGCAATGGCGAGAGTACCAAAAGTATTCACAAAAAAATTATTGTATGTGATACACAAGTAATTGAGTTTAAGTTTAAGTTTATTGGCATAACAAAATATGTCTTACCAAGTACAAGCTAACATCTGTATGCATATAATGCAGCTGAATGTACATTATCAATAACAGTGGGAAAAATATATAATATATAAGTTTAGACCTTTCGAGATGTTAATAATAAGTTCCTTTGCATCTTCTCTGCTGACTTCATATATCTATAAAGACAGTCATCGTTAAATAATTTTTGAATTTTAAGATCATCACTTAGGATGTTGAAGTACGGTATCAATTAGAATTAATAGATTTGAGCATTTGAAACTTTCTAAAAGTGAAGTCCTTAATTAACTCTTGCCCTAATGTGATCACTGTGACGCACTTGAATTAAAACAACAATTTCATTTTTATTACCTTCGCTAAATCTTGATTGTTTTCAATTCGCGATTTTTAACTAAAGATATGACATTCTCAATACTGATGCAGTATCCATCTAATACAGTAAATTTGTTTATAGAAGATGATATTGGAAACTATTTAGCTTATTTGAGTACACAGTTATCTGTTAAGAATTTCAGATGGACTCGGCGCCATGTAACTTCAAGTTGGTAGCATTTTACAGAGACGGATTAAGCTCAACTTCTTACTTCAAATGTCAGCTTGTCATTTGCCATGGTCGACTTAATGGATTGGTCGATGTAGCAGTCAATTCAACTAGAGCGCAGCTTTTGATCACTCTCAGGACTGATTTCTGTACATCGTTCCCATTGTCAATTTGTCTGTTCTTGTAAGAACGGTTTAAATTACAGTTTAGGGGTAAATTGTTTTAAAACACTCGTCGCTGTCTGACGAATTGATAGTGTTCATGTTTGGTATATGTTCTGCAACATCTACCATTGTTTGTTTTTATTTCATATGTAATAGGTCATCAATTTGATAACAAAAGTTCTCGTTGACCTTTTACTTTAGGCCCTCGGATAAGATTAACATGTTGAATGAAAAAAAGCGGCGTCGTGTAGGAAGTTGCTTTTTATCTATTGCATCGTATGTATATTCTCTATACATCATTTAGACACAAAACAAATTAAGCTGAATATGCTGGATATAAGACAAATAACGTTATTTTAAAAACATGTTGTTATTGCATTCACGGTTCTCAGCCTTTTTTCGGGATGCGGTTACAGTATTTCCAATTTCAATCCCTGCAATTTCATTCTCGATATTTTTCACTTATGACTGACTTGCGCCATTGTGTTTCATATCAAGGGAATTTTACTTTCTTGCGCGTAGAAAGGTGCGTTTTGCCTCTAAACGCTACTATATACTACTATAGAAAAGAAGAATGTTACCAGTAAGTTATATATTATTTTGTACTTTTCAGAAACACAGCCTAACGTCCGAGAGTATGTTCACCATATTTTCGACGAAAATGTAGGTGAACTGATTTATGGTATATGTTTTGTTACAACTCTGTTTTACAACTGAACTATCTTAAGAACCACGTACTTTGATAGGCTCAGCGTAAATGTATTATATTGCATCGTATTGTATTGTATTGTATTTTATTGTATTGTATTGAAATGCAAGCAATTTGACAAATTGCATCGTATATGGACGAAATCACATTGGCCTCGTATGACACTTAAAAGGCTGAGGAAGAATACTTATTCGACATCTAAAGAGCTACAGAGAATATTCGATGGTTTCAATTGAGCCAAAATAACAAATATACGTTTAGGCTATCTAGTTATCATTGCATGTCCAAAATATCAACGAAGGATTGTGAATTCGTAAAAAAATATACAATGGAATATATTACTCTTTTTATTTCTTGCTTTTTCCTCATAGTCACTGCCCTAGATTTTTTCTTTTCATTTGTGCCTAACATCAAGACTAGCGACCAGAAAGATATTTTTCAAATATAGTCTCCATTTTGAAATGTAGTTCTGTTTTGGCTGTGTCTTCCCTTAGAATCTCAAGAGAATTCTTAACGGGAAAACGATGGCAAAATATGAAGAACTTTCAGATAATAAACCCCCAGTTTTCTAATTAGACCCATTAAGGAACACTGGACAAAACCTGGTTGTATTTTGATGTATGAATTTCATGAGCAAGGCATGTGTTTTTGTATCAAACCTAAACTGTTTGAAGTTTTATCTCACTTTTTGAGAACCACTTGTCATCCTTCTTGACATATTAATGAACAGATCCAAATTCACGTTAAACACCATCCTGGCCAGGCTTAGCTTTGTATTACCAGAACAAAGCATACACATCGATTCTCATCATATACATGATCTAGTCCTCCAAATAATACAACGTGGCCCGGTAAGTGCTGCCCATAAAGGCGAATGATGAACGACATGGTATCAAGGCTGCAGACAGCAAGACGGTACTACACCATCTATAAAAGCGATTACAGAGCGGTAATAGCGAGTAGGGTCACATAGGAGCTGAACCGTGCACCCCTAGATAACAACCATGATAAGCTAACAAGCGCTGGGATTAATAGAACGATTCTTCGACGCGATGATGACATAGCCTACATCCATAATGATACGCACGTGTGTCTCGTGTTATATGATAATAACTTTCCTCGTGTTCCTTTCAGATTTACAACTGTACATGTTTTTTAATTGTTCTTAAACGTTTTGATAATTTACAAAATATGTTTGAAAATATGTCTTTATCATTCATTTACTATTTTTGATGACTTTAAAAATATTTGAAGTGACATCATCGCGATGTCATACATGATCGGGTGGCAAAAATGTTTTGAATTTAAAAAAAATTCCGTATCAATCTTTTCTAAATATACTAAACTTCAAAAATAAGCCAATGTTGATTGTATAACTAGGTTTCATGTTTTGATGTTATCCATCAAACAATTTTCTGATTTTTTTCGACAAAAACATGTGAGTATGAATGTTGCAGTAGTGTGAACAATTGCTCATTAAAAGATACGTGCGTGCTAGTTTTGGATTTACGAACAAAAAGTCCTTCAAAACCACCTCTTTGAAATAATTTTTTTCACTTATCATTTTGGTAACATTGGATGAGACTGAAATATAAGCCAAAGTGGTTTAAACTTTAAATGGGAGCTTAAACATTAAACGCCCATGGGTTTTAAAATGGAAGTTTTATTTGTTTTACTTAACCCTATTTCAAATTTGGCGCCCAAGGACCCATAAGGGAAAAGACTAGGAGAGCAACTTAATTCGAAAACATTGATTTAGTAGAGAGAGATAATCGAGAGATAATCTTAAGATAAAACTAACTGAGATACAAACTAAAACCTAATCCCATACAAAGGGAGAAGTATATCTTTATTGGGAGAATTTTTGAAATTGCACTGTCCAAATGACAGATCTTCATTTGACAAAAGTTTGAAGAATCAGACAAGTCTCTTCACAACATATCACTAGAACACGGTGCTCAGGGATCAAAAAGTTTCAGTCAAATGTTGTCCCTCGCCATAAACTAAAATCTATTCGTTAAAATCATTGCGATCAGAGACATCTATTCAGCCAAAACTACAATGTATTTGATAGATTTGCTTTTCGTTAGTCTAGCTACAAGCCCTAGTGACTTTGAATTTTCAGGGAGTGTTTACCTTATACAATAATTGGTCTAAGTAATAAAATCTTTATCTTATTAATCTATTGATATTTTACAATAATTGGTCTAAGTAATAAAATCTTTATCTTATTAATCTATTGATATTTTTAAATAATAAAGTTAAGATAATATTTGTTTGACAAACTATTATCCCCTAGTGACATCTATAGTACTATAGCATTTTTCATGTTGATTCACCGTATTGTGCTGCCATCTTTCAATGGGTTTCTTATAGGTTTTGTAGGGTAAGGGATTGCCTTTCATTTCCTATAACTTGGGGGTATTTAAGAGAAATTTTGGGCTTCATTCAGTAGAGAGTTAGATCGGGGGGAACATCACACATCATTTATTGTCATCTTATTAATCTCATTTTCATTCTTTCTTTATCTTTGAACAGTTTTATTTTATACTGAAGAGTGTAATTGTACATGTTTAGTCTTTTACTTGGAATAAAGTATAGTTTTATGAGTATATTAATTCTGTGTTAATCTTGTCTTTTTTACATTACAAGACCAATCCATATTATTTTATGAAGAACCCACAGAGCTATTTAAACAACAAAGCTCGAAGCTTCAGTACTAGTCCTATAGTCATGTTTAGCGGATAATATTCAAATACATCATTTTAGAATTATTTTCAAACGTAGTGGCGCGATGTTCCTAAAATTGACAGATATAATAATAAGATTTAATGGGTGTTTGTCATTTTAAATATATCTTTAAATCACCAGCAGTAATAAACACAAGAAATGAATGACCACACTAAAATCAGTATGCAATGCCATGGGCTCTTGTATGAATTATTTAGACTTATTCGAAAAGTGTGAAATAATCATAAGATTTAATGGGGGAATTCACATTTTAAATATATCTTTAAATCATTAGGGGAAAAAAACACAAGAAATGAATGGCAACACAAATCAGTATGCCAAGCCATGGGCTCTTGTATGAAAACTGTCCGGAAAACATCATCCCATTTTCAGTGTATTTCTTTTATCATGAATTTAATACGTGAATTTGTTATTGATATCACTAAGATTGAGTAAAGGTTGTTTTGAACCTGTTAGGTAATTCAAAAATAGGGAAACTTATATATGGTTATTTATATGACTTGTTATATAAATTGTATGTTATATTGGATCAAGGCAAGTCATCATGACGCAGCAATAAAAATCTAAATTGTGAACTGTACAACAATTTGCATTATTTAGTTTAATTTAGAAGTCATGTTTGTTGTAAAGTCGAACCATTTTTATATCTAAATCTAGTCCAAATCACTATACTTTAACAAGAATAAAGTTGGATATGAATATCTAAGTTATATATTTGAACTTTTAGTATAAAAGAAGTTGGAACAGTGAATGTATGATTTGTTAACATTGGCCCGATCGGATTTGAATTATATAATCTTTCAAAGAATGTTTAAGTAACGTATTATATTCAGGCCCTACTGTTTACAATAGCAACATAACAAAAGCAATATATTTCAAGCAAAGGGCTTCTCTGCATTGAATATATAGCACATAGGGGTGAGATCCTATCCTGGCACATAGAAGAAGCGTACCCCTACGATCGCAGTGGACACAAAAACAGCCTACAACATGGCTCGTATTAAACTACACGGAGACTACGTTTCTCAACCTTGTAGAGCTCTGGCACTTGTGATGAAAGCAAATAATATCGCCTATGACTTTGTCTCCATACCTTTGCTACCAATCTCTGACCGTGAGTATTGTGTAATACAGTATATTTATCATAGATAAAATTAAAATAGGGCAAAGTTCATTTTATCATAAAGTGACAAATTGCACGGGAGCCACAAATTATGGACCGAAAGGGTCTATCAGGGATGCTTCAGTCGTTTTTTGACCTCTTATATCTTATTCCGTGGCAGGTGGCATTAAAAATAACGTGGTAATTCACCTGTTCCCAAGGAACATTGAAGTTTGGTAACTTCGGTATCGTCAATGACAACGGAATCTGAATTTGAAATAATTTACAAAGACAACGGCATATCTGTACAGTAATTTTAACTTCCGGCCTAACATGATGACATTAAATATAATATTTTTTATTAAATCATATTTATGGAGAAATGTACATGCACTAGTACAGTGAATGGAAATGTACCAATATTCTCATTCCTAATAGTTTGATCTCATTAATAAAATATAATCCTTTGGTTTAGCCTTAACCAAAGCAGGATTTCATGTCTTCATAAGTAAAGTAGAAACTGTCTTCATAAGTAGATGTTTCTTTCTCTTACTGGGTACCTTCCCGTTTGGCACTATGCGTGTACATTATATTTGTTTTTATATATAATCCAGCCTCAAGAAAGGCTTTTTAAAAAAGTCTTTATTTCTTTGTCCCATTCAGAGGGTCCCATTTCATTTGCAGAATTCCTCATTTTCAATTTGAAAAGATTTAAAGAAGTGGTCATTTGTTCCCGACATAATAAAATAATCATGAACAGCTGATCGTGAATGTATCACTTTAATTTTAAAAAATCATGACAGCATAGCTCTTTTCCGAGGGCTCATAATTTGTTTCAGACTGGATCTACATTTTGTAAACAGAGCCTTCATTTTAAAAAAATCCACTAAAAATGTTTAAATGCTGAAGTGACCAATGAATATCAAGCCTCTGCTCCTGGAATGATATGATATAAATATAAAATTTGTTTGCAGGAAGTTGTAAACCAGAGGGAAATGCCGCAGCCGTTAATCCATTTAAATGGGTGCCTACTCTTGAAGTGGAAGGCGATGGATGCATTTGGGAGAGGTAATACGGTACATTCAGTTTATCATGTTCACGACCCCTCTAATAGAGGTTGTGAAAAATGTAAGACTGTCACATTTAGAGGCTTATTTTATTGGCATCAATTCTATTTGTTATAGACAGGTTGGTTTACCGATGGGTCTTCGGATATACTTATTTATCCCATACTCGGACGTGTTACGGGTACATAAAGCCGGTTTGTAAAAACTTATATTTTCATCAGCGGGCAGATTTAGCTTTACGTCCCGCTCCGAGCGGGCAGATATAGTATATCTGCCCGCTACGTCATAATCGCCGCTCGCATATTTGTTCATAATTTGTAACGTTCGCGTAATGACTGTAAACGACAATGGAGAAAACACAGACAATCGGGATCTGTTTGATGGTTTAAAAAAGGGAAAGAGCATCCACTTAATCAATCAAAATTCGAGAAAATAAATGTGGGAATATTTGAGAGAACAGGAAAATCCGCCCACGGCCAAGAAAACAAAACTGGACATGAATATTCTAAAATATTTCCACGATTGAACAATGTAAACCAGATGACCAAGATTGGTATGGGATAAACATATTATCCTATAGTCGGTTCAAGAGGCCCTCGGGCAAATATATTATATTAGCCTCGGGATAATCCCAATATCCTGAACCTCATACAGGATAATCTCTATATAGTTTTATATTTTACTAGTTTTGTTCTGAAAATATGGGACGATGACACAATCGTAAAAACGAGTTCTTAATTACCTCCTAGGACAACTGGACAAAGGATATACATGTACTTTCACTTTTTAATTTCATTGGATATTAAGGAAATGCTGTTATTTTGAAATAGGATATACTTTTTATACTTTACACAAACACCATATGAAAAAAATTTCCAAAGATTTTCTTAGGCAGATACATGTATATTTCAAAAAACAATATACTCTATTTCCCTATTATATCAATCATGTAATGACAGCTGGTAAATTCTAACCAATCATCCACCCTTTACCGTCCTCTAGTTCTGCCGCACTGCAGTACCTGGCTGAGATGGATGGTGTACCCGAACACTGGTACCCCAGAAGTGGGAGGGCAAGAGTCATGGTGAACACATACTTAGCCTCACATGGATCAGACACAAGAAAAAATGCATCGGGATACTTTGTCAGGAGTGTAAGTTTGATACCCTTGTGCTCAAGATGTTGATATATATTTTTTGTAAATTATGCGAAAAATTACATACACAGTTCAGCACCAATGAATTGAATTTTTGCAGCTTTCCAACCAGTAGAACTGTATTCTGCAGTTTACCTTATCTAATTTGCCAAATAATTGATACATCAAGAAATAAAGTGACGTCTGTAAGCGTACTCTCATTGTGAATACTTGGATATTAGTCCAACCAACACGAGTGGTGCCATCTATATTTCCATATTTATTGCAACTGATTAATATTAATAGAACATTTCTTGATTTTCATTTCATATAATGTTTTTACTTTTGTTTTACAGTACGTAGGAAAATACTTCAATATGAGTTTTACCGAGGATGAAGTTAAGGAAATACGTGAGGGATTTGAGAAACTGCTCGACAAACTGGAGACAATCTGGTTGAAGGATGCCACCTATATTGCAGGAAGTGACATATCCATTGCTGATATACATTGCATCACAGAGCTCACTCAGGTTGGAACGACTGGCTATGACATGGTGAAGAACAGGCCCAAGTTGAAAGCGTGGATGGAACGCGTCAAGGACAAATTACAGCCACATTTTGATGATGTATGCAAGAAGCCTCTAGCTACATTTGCAGAGGATTTCATGAAATTACAAGCGTCGAAGAATCAAGAATCAAAGAAGGAAAATAAAAAAAGCTTGAAATGCAACATTAAACTACACGGAGACTACGTTTCTCAACCTTGTAGAGCTCTGGCACTTGTGATGAAAGCAAATAATATTGCCTATGACTTTGTCTCCATACCTTTGCTACCAATCTCTGACCGTGAGTATTGTGTATACAATTATATTTATTATAGAAAATATGAAAACATGGCAAAGTTTATTTTATCATAAAGTGATTTGCAAGGGAGCCAAAAATTATGGATCAAAGGGGTCTGTTAGGGATGTTTAAAGTTTTCTTGACCTCTTATCCCTTAGGCTTTGGAAGGTCTTAAAATGAATGTCATACTTCTGATCAGAGAGATCTGCATGTTGATAATAATTGTGTAAGTTTTTATGATTTTAATTATCCATGATTGATAAAATTAACACATTTCATAGTTTTATGTGAATACTTACATATTATGGTAGAATGCAACAAAGCTCAAAATAAAAATATTTCAATAAAATTTAGAATTTTTTCTTCAACTCTCTTTAAATGTTTGGAACTACTGTAAAACATCTCTAATGGAACAAATTGAAAATTCAGCTATTGGAATAGGGAAACTTGGTAAAACTGTACATCATACTGTTTTCAGAGGTGTAGTAATAGGTAATAAAGTAATAGTAATAGTAATAGGTAACATCAACGTATCAATTTTGATTTAAGAAATCATGAAAGTTGGCTTCTTTCCGAGGGCTCATAATTTGTTTCAGACTGAGTCTACATAGGGTAGCCAGAGCTTTCATTTAAAAAGTTCCCCCAAAATGTTTAAATGCTGAAGTGACTAAAGTTTATCAAACCTCTGATATTAATATAAAAAATGTGTTTGCAGGAAGTTGTAAACCTGAGGGAAATGCCGCAGCTGTTAATCCATTTAAATGGGTGCCTACTCTTGAAGTGGAAGGCGATGGATGCATCTGGGAGAGGTAATACATTCAGTTTATCATGTGCACGACCTGTCTAATAGAGGTTGTGAAAATGTGATTCTAACAAATTTTAAGGCTTATTTAATCAGCATAAATTCTGCAAAATCATTAATTTTTGACAAAATGGTTTGCCGATGGGGGCTCCGGGTATATTCTAGATATATTTTTTGTATTTTACAACTTTTGTTCTGAAAATATGGGACTAATATATATAAATAATGTTCGCATTAAATCGTTGTCAATCAGTGACCATTGCATAAAGGACAGTGTTATTTACAGAATGTGTTCAATAATTGGTTTGAGATAAAAACAACGTTGAATACAGTTCGCCATATCTGTACTAATCCTTTAAAAAACAGCAAATGGTTAACTGGAAAAACAAGAAAGATTTACTTAAAACATATACAGGGTGTCAAATAAGTCCTGTCCCCCCTCTACAGCCAAATCCAAGACATTTGGTACCAAGTGTGATATATCATTGGAAAGGTCTTCAAAAGTTACGTTGATTAGCATATATCCGACACATGTCAATCAATCTCACAAATTTCTACATTGTATCAATTGAGGTGACCATAGGCCTAGAAACATGGCAATTTGGCGTATTTGGCAGGATTTTAAGAATCGGGTATAAGAAAGATCTCAAATGACCAAAAGATGACTAAGTATGTACATGACAATGAATTTAACCAATTTCTGGATAGGGTTAGATGTGTTAGAAAAAAGAGGTGCAAGGAAAGTGTTGAAAACCTTTTTGTAACAAGTGGAAAACGAAAAAGATTAACTTTTTGAGCCCATATTCTTGTCATTTTGACGCAAAAAAGCTGCTTAAAGGAGGGTACGTTAACTATAAAGGACATCATAAAATATAGGTAAATGTTATCCAAAATACTTGAGAGTTGGTGAGTTAACATATTTTTTGATGATCTTCCCAATGGTATATCACACTAGGTACCGTCTATTAAGGTTTAAGCTGTAGCAGGGGGGACGGGACTTATTTGACACCCTGCATTTTGACATCATTTATTCTCTATTTACCTTCGTAATCATAGTATGACACCAGTTGGCACATTCTAACAAATCATCATTTACTTTCCTCCAGCTCTGCCGCACTGCAGTACTTGGCTGAGATGGATGGCGTACCAGAACACTGGTACCCCAAAAGTGGGAGGGCAAGAGTCATGGTGAACACATACTTAGCCTCACATGGATCAGACACACGAAAGAATTCATCAGGATACTTTGTCAGGAGTGTAAGTTTGATTCTCAAGATGATAATATTTCTTTGATCCTTTAAAATGTTCCCATCGATGTTTTGCTATATACCTTATTTGTTAAACCGTCGAAGTCTCATTCAATTGGACTTTATTAGAATTGTGTTTTTACCACAAACGGGTTACATTTTTCTTCTATTTGATCAAATATTTTAATTTTTTACAATTTCCCAACCAGTACAACTTTTTTACAGTTATTTTTTTATCTTATATAATGGCGTACTCAAGAGAAAATCAAGAAAAAATGTGACTTCTGTTAGTTAATCCCGTTGTGAATACTAGGATAGCCCAACCAACACGAGTGGTGCCATCTATATCTCCATACTAATAGCAACTGATCAATTAATCGAACCTTTCTTTAGGTTCATTTCATATAATATATTTTATATTTCTTGTTTTACAGTACGTAGGAAAATACTTCAATATGACTTTCACCGAGGATGAGGTTAAGGAAATTCAGGAGGGGTTTGAAAAACTGCTCGACAAACTGGAGACAATCTGGTTGAAGGATGCCACCTATATTGCAGGAAGTGACATATCAATTGCTGATATACATTGCATCACAGAGCTCACTCAGGTCGGAACGACTGGCTATGACATGGTGAAGAACAGGCCCAAGTTGAAAGCTTGGATGGAACGCGTCAAGGACAAACTGCAGCCACATTTTGATGATGTTTGCAAGAAACCCCTTGCTACGTTTGCAGAAGATTTCAAGAAATTCCAAAAGTCAAAGAATCAAGAATCAAAGAAGGACAATAAAAAGAGTTCCTCCTGTCAAATACTGTAGCATTATAGGGTGACCAATGTTACCAGACACAGGACTTTGCACTAATGCTCTTTCGGGATAAGTTCTGTCTATTTCAATGTTCTTTCAAAAACTTTTAAATATTTGGAAATACTAAATGGGTTAGTAGCTATAATTACCATCCTTAATAACCTTAAAGTGTATATTTGATTATAAATAATGATAATGTAACTTGCGCAATCATTAAAGCAAGCAGTATGTTCAAATTTAAAAAGACTACTCGCAGCTTTGTGAATTTTAAAAGGTTTTTCCCTTTCCAAATTCATTTCTACATGAACAAATTTTCCAAGCTTCAATAATTACAGAAAAGAATGTTTATGTTCATGTTGATTGATTGTAAAGATTTCATATCATTATGAATCTGAAATATGAAAGATGAAAATTGTCTTACCAGTATCTTTAATTTTATTTCAATCTTGAACATTTTACTCTTATTGTAAATATTAGAACGTGTGGTGATATTTCCACAAAATTTAATAAATTCTCTATATACCAGACTTATATTGTTTTACATATTTATACAAGAACATCTCCGGGACTTTTGCCCAAGTAGTCAATGAGCTGATTTTTCTAAGAGCTCTAGATGAGGAGTTGGTTATCCGAGTGTCCGCCACAAAAACCAACTGTTGCATATAACTAGTGTTCCTACATATATGCCCCACACTGGGTTATGTAACATGTGTCTGGAATTAGGGGATTTTTCTTAGAAAAGAAGGATTTCATCAAGGATGCATTGACTTAACATGTGGATATTTACTATTGACTTAACATGGGGATATCTATATATTTATAAGCCATCATTACTCTGTCCCTTTATACATGTCACATTACTCCTCTTCAAGCATTAGACAGTGTTTTTTATTACTTAAAATGTAGTAACACCAAAACATTTCACCATGCAGATTTTTACCATTGCAGATGTTTTCACCCTGTTGGAACCATCTTCTTAACATTTTCCAAATTATTTATTCTTTTGTAAATCAAAAGTACCTCATTTTTATCAAAATCAATTGATATTATACTTGAAATGCAGGTAAAAAAATAATAAAAAAGAGATATAAAACGTTTATTTTAGAAGATAACCTTGTGTGACCGCACTTTAGAGGCAAAAGCCCAGGCAAAAGCCCAAAAGGGACCAAGTGAAATACACAAATTTCCCGAGTGATAAACCCTTGATCCAAACCGATCGAAGTTTCCAAAATCTTTAAAATGATTTTTGTATCATTAATTTCAGTTTTCATGAATTTTATTAAAAGAGTAAAAGATTGATATTTAGATTTTTGAGTGCAATATTTAAAAAACCATTAATTGCAAACATTTTGGAGTGGGATTGGGACGGACGCAGCCTGTATTCCCCGGGCTGTTGCGATAGAAGGAGACCAAACTGGTGTTTTCATTGTTCCCGAAAGATCTGGTATAGCTTCTGGATATTTTATATGTAAATGTAACAATATCCCAGACATTGAATTTTACAGTGATTCTCAAAGTTAAACCTACATAAACGCGCAGAAAGATTTACCTGAGATACGGTTGTACCTTACCGCTACCACGCGTTCTATCGTATGCTACTTTTGGAGTTTTTGTAGGTTTTAACTAGTGTATGAAATCCTCTGTCAAGTTCATTGTCCAGGATGTTATTATAGACATATACACATAAGAATATCTAGAAACTAGACCAAAGCTTTCTGAAACGATGAAAATATCAGTTCAAAGGACCTAGTGCAACTGTTGGCAAATATCCCCATGGTCAGAATGAATCATATTTAGTTGTAACATGAAGAATCTAATGTCACATTATACTTTGGGAATTTTTTAATAATCGTTTATTTCATATTTATATTATACATACGATAATACAATAGTAAAGTTTGACTAGGTTACAATTAACATTATTGTCAAACTAAAAACCAAAATGTAGTTTCATGCATTTTTTTTTATTTTACAAAGAAAGATTCATTATTATTTTATTTAAAATGGTCAAGTTGTGTGCTTCATGTGTAGAGTTTGGTTACGGGTCCAGTAGGTCTTTGGTGGATTGCTTTGATTATTAAAAAATTGTATTATCATCAAAATCAGAGTGACCAAATAAAAGCATGTCTATTTTATCAGAAGAATTACAATCTAAAAATGCACTTAAGGATCTCTAAGGAGTTGACATCTTGGGTTAAAGTGCTAATTCGGTAATTTCTGTTTATTTTTTCTCACTGCTATAGATTAAACAGATATTGGTAAGTAAAAATAGTATTCCAACAGACTCTTAACTCATTCTGTTTGTTCACTAGTGGCAAAATAAGATTTCCCGGGAAAAAAACATGACGTCACGAACAGAACCGGTTATGGATTTTAATCGGCAATGCGTTATGCAACTCGAATGTAAATTCAAAAGTCTTCATGTTATACTGTGTTCTGATTGGCCAGAAAGGAGTAACGCTTACCGAAATCGCCTCATGGTTCAATGCCTTTTGGTTACAAGATTTTAGACGCCTTGATTTATGTAATACTATCAACTGAGCGTGTTTATTTTCTATATTGTGTTCTGACTGGCCAGAAAGTAATTCTGCATGACTAGCTATGTGAAAACGTACCGCTGGGTTGGAGGCTCTAATTTAGGTATTATTTTTTTGTTTATCGGAGGAAAAAACGTGGCTCCAAAGTAGTCATCTCTGAATCAATTCCTCACTTCTTGAATGCAGATGCAATCAATTACACTAATACTTTATAAGCACGTTCGGGGATTATGAACTCCAACAACATATTCAAAACCCGTTCTGTTCGTGATGTCATGATTGACATTTAAAATTGTGTTCCCGATTTTGAACATCAAATCTCACATTTATAAAAATGTTTACAAGAACGGTTACTGGTTCGACATGTTAGTGGTATTTACTTCGTTTAGAACGTGTATAAACTGTATTTTGACCCCATGAGCATCGAACAGACACTTTAATGTAAAGAAGGCACTGTAGAAAAAAGTGTTTTGGTGTTTCAGAGTGATGACCACAGGCACATTCTGGTGACGGCACATTGTTAAGATTATGTGCAAAAGCTGGCTTTTTAAATAAAGATCTACTCTGAGTCTATTAAATGAGACTTCATTTTTTGTTTTACAATATTTACAATATTTATGAAATTAGTACCATTGAAATTTTCAAAGTGTGCCTTGATCCTACGTTTGAAAATTGAAATTCGCTCACAATTTCTTATATCAACAGGTAACCTATTACAAGTTTCAATTGCCGCATAGAAAGTAGATTTCTCAAACCTTTTGCTTATGTTTAAAGGAATATTGTATTCTCTGAAAGCTCTTAGGGTTCGAGTTGGAATATTTTGTTTATATATATTAAATAAGCCAATGATAGCCCTCCATGTGACTTGTTCACTTGGCATTAACCCTCACCTTTCCTCAGTGATCTCCAAAGGCAATCATCTAGATTCTAGACCCAACCAAACAATAAAAAGAATAGCACACATTTTAAGAGTAGGAGCCGGACAAAGTTAAAACCAGAAAAATGTGACATTTCAATTGAAACAATTAATAAAAAATGCAGAGAATAAGTACAGTATTTAATACATGAAGCACATGCTTATAAGCATCAAGTAGCTTTGAAATCCTCTGTCAAGTTCACTGTCTAGGATGTTATTATAGACATTTTACATATAAGAATATCTAGAAACTAGACCAAAGCTTTCTGAAACGATGAAAACATCAGTTCAAAGGACCTAGTGCAATTGTTGGAAAATATCCCCACGGTCAGAATGAATCATATTTAGGTGTAATATGAAGAATTCAATGTCACATAATACTTTGGGAAATATTTAAGCGTTTGGACCAACATGAGCTGAGGTTGAGATCATTATATTCAGCAAGGGTGTATTGACTTGACATGGGATGTGCTCCATCCATGGGGATATCATCAAATCCCAATAGAGGCCATTGATTTCCATTGATTAACACAAAAATACCAAAAATACACTATGACCTGAATTGATTGCAAATTAAATAATTTCACGATATGACACAAATGCCATATCTCATCAAATGTGCAAATATGAAGTTTGCAATCGATCCAGGTCATACTTTAAAGTGCTAATTCGGTAATTTCTGTTTATTTTTTCTCACTGCTATAGATTAAACAGATATTGGTAAGTAAAAATAGTATTCCAACAGACTCTTAACTCATTCTGTTTGTTCACTAGTGGCAAAATAAGATTTCCCGGGAAAAAAACATGACGTCACGAACAGAACCGGTTATGGATTTTAATCGGCAATGCGTTATGCAACTCGAATGTAAATTCAAAAGTCTTCATGTTATACTGTGTTCTGATTGGCCAGAAAGGAGTAACGCTTACCGAAATCGCCTCATGGTTCAATGCCTTTTGGTTACAAGATTTTAGACGCCTTGATTTATGTAATACTATCAACTGAGCGTGTTTATTTTCTATATTGTGTTCTGACTGGCCAGAAAGTAATTCTGCATGACTAGCTATGTGAAAACGTACCGCTGGGTTGGAGGCTCTAATTTAGGTATTATTTTTTTGTTTATCGGAGGAAAAAACGTGGCTCCAAAGTAGTCATCTCTGAATCAATTCCTCACTTCTTGAATGCAGATGCAATCAATTACACTAATACTTTATAAGCACGTTCGGGGATTATGAACTCCAACAACATATTCAAAACCCGTTCTGTTCGTGATGTCATGATTGACATTTAAAATTGTGTTCCCGATTTTGAACATCAAATCTCACATTTATAAAAATGTTTACAAGAACGGTTACTGGTTCGACATGTTAGTGGTATTTACTTCGTTTAGAACGTGTATAAACTGTATTTTGACCCCATGAGCATCGAACAGACACTTTAAATTAAAAGATTATACATTTTTCATAATTTTTTTCATACAAAATGGCTTTAAAAAATGCTCCTATAGCAACTAATACACTTATCAAATGGCATACAACTTTGTAAATTATGTTTCCTTTAT